CATACATTCTCACCATAGAATAATAACACCATTATAACCAACTCATATCTTCTTTTGGTTCAGTAATCCTTTACATGGCATGATTTAGAACTATGAAAATAGTGCAAGAATTATGATTAATGTTTATAAATGGGGCATGCTGCAACAAAACCAGACAAAGTGAGCATTGGCATTACCAAGAATTTCAGGGATCAACATTTGAATTGCAGCATGCGTAACAATAAATTTCACTATATAATCAAGGGAAATATCACATGACTATTAGTAAAAATGTTTAAATCCGTTGTGACAAGAAATCCGCTATGATGTTAATTAGTAAGGAAATTGAAATCTATGAAAATATTTAATTTTTATATGTTGATAAAGCAATTAAAACTTTATTATTCTTATTAAGATCAAGAAAAGCTTAAAATATGGTAATATACTGTATGTGTATATAATTTCATTTCTAAAATTTTGATTATTTTATATTACTCACATTAAATGGTGATAGCATCTAAAAAATCTGGCAATGGCTTTAAACTAGGATCTGGAAAATGTAACCAATCTTGTACTTTCATTTTGTCTTCTTCTGGTGTATTGATCATAATTTTTTTCCTAAACTCCTTTTGTTCAAAAATTTCATTTTTTAGAATTTGAAAAAAATTAAAGATTTTCAAAAAGTACACTATCGAATCTAAAGAAAATGGAATTATGCAAGATGCAAGTTCCACAGCCAAATATTTCCTTCTATCAAATAGTGAAACCGAAAAAAGTGTTAATCTATCCCCAATTACTTGTATACTAAATGATTTGATTTTTTTTGCATCTTCAATCTTGCAATTAAGATCATTTCCAAATATGCAGCACAAATTACAGACTGCCATCATCAACAATTTTTTTATATCTCCTACTGTATGTGATTCTTGTGGATTATAAGGTGGACCGGAAACCTCAACATCCACAATCTCTTTGCCATCTACCAAATGGGTGACAAGAAGGTCAGTCTTTCTTAATCTAGCTTGCGTCATAAACATTTTATTGGCAATCTTAATTGAATCCACTTCTTTTTCAATCCAATCGTACTTGACTTCCGGAAATGCATTTCTGAATGACTTGAATATTGGAGACAAACATTCTACAATAAATGTTCGCTCAGAGATTTCACAATCAAAAATTTTTGGATTTCTATATTCGAAATTCGACGTAAAGGCTAACAAAGAATGTTTAATAAAAAAAAGAAATCTTCCGGTTTCTGATTGATTGCTATAGTGTGTTGTTGTTTCCGATATTATTTTTGATTCAATGACACTAGGATCTGCATCAAATATGGATTCCAACTTCTTTACAATACTGTTATCTAAAATTAAATTTTCAGTCTTTCCTATTAATTGTTTGATTTCTTGATAATCATTGATGCTAACTGATTTCTTGATATACGTGGTATGGCTGAAAAGTAATGAGAATCATTGTATTACTCAATAATATGTGGGTATACCTAAACAAAGTT